TTTAGTAGAGACGGGGTTTCACCATGTTGACCAGGATGGTCTCGATCTCTTGACCTCGTGATCCACCCGCCTCGGCCTCCCAAAGTGCTGGGATTACAGGAGTGAGCCACCGCTCCCGGCCAAAATGATCTTATAAAATCTTTTATTTGCTGTATATCCTGCGACCTAATAAATTAACATTTAGGTATTTTTCCTAAGAAAACACTCATGAATATGCATAATATGAGCATTTATCACAATGTTTATAATAGCAAATAATTTAAAACAATGCAATTAATAAATTATATATAAAAAGAAAAATCTAACCACTAAAATGATGTTGTAAATGGCTCATATGTATGAAGAATACCCAGTTGCCTTCATAATAAGAGAAATGCAAATTAAAACTACTTGATATATTATCCTATTGGCAAAAATTCACTCAGTGGGTAAGGCTGTGTGGAAACAAACACTCTTATACAGTGCTGGTGGGAATGTAAATTGATATAATTCCTATATCAATTCAATTTGGAAATATTTGTCAGAACTACAGAAACACATACTTCTTAGCCCACTCTTGTTTTCCACCTGGCATCTTACAGATATATTTGCATACATGTGAGATGATGTATATACAGGGTTGTTCACTGAAGTATTGTTTTAATAGCCAAAGATTGTAAACAACTCAAATGTCCATCAACGGGAGACTGGCAAAGTAAAATATGGTACATTCATCAGTTAAGAAGCTGTAAAAAACAACAAAGACACTCTATGCACAAATGTGAAATGATCTTCAAGTGGAAAAAGCAAGGAACACAAAACAGTGTATGGTATGTTTTATGCTACCTTTTGTGTAAAAGGGCATATGTGAGAAGCTGTGTTTGCTTGTGTAGGCATAGGAAAATGCTGGAAGGTTATGTAAGAAACTAACAGTTGTTATTTATGGAGAGAGGGATTTGGGAACTATGTAGATAGAGGATAAGAATGGTATAGGGACATGCAAACATGTCACCTATTAGAAGAATAGTTAATGATGATGATAAATTCACAATATATATTTAAATGGAAAAAAGCATGTTGGAATTCTATATACAGTATGATCCATATTTTTAAAAAGAATATGCCTATCGAAAATAAAGCCTAGAAGGTTGTACACCAAAATTTTCATACTGCTTGTCTCTGAGTACTGGGATTGCATGTTATGTTCTGTTAGTTCTCACACTGCTATAAAGAACTACCTGAGACTGGATAATTTATAAAGAAAAGAGGTTTAATGAACTCATGGTTCCACAGGCTGTATAAGAAACACAGTTGGGAGGCCTCAGGAAATTTAAAATTGTGGAAGAGGAACGAAGGGAAAGCAAGCACCTTTACATGGCGAATGAGAAGAGAGAGCAAAGGGGGAGGCGCTACACACTTTTAAACAACCAGATGTAGTGGGAATTCACTCACTGTCACGAGAACAGCAAGGGAGAAATCCCCACCATGGCCCATCAACATGAGATTTGGATGGGGATACAGAGCCAAACTGGCCTTGCACCCAAATCTCATGTCCTTCTCACATTTCAAAACATAATCACACTTATAATGTTGATTTTTTTTTTTTTTAACCTTCTGGGCTTTTCCCAATTTTCTACAATCAACGTGTTGTTCAGTAAACAATAACAACCACCCTAAAATGTGATTTTTTTTTTTTAAAAATCAGGGAGTGATGTTGGGCAGAAACCAAGAAAATAAAAATCAGAATCATTCTAAAATTTTGTTTCCATTTCAAAATCACTTGTGTATAGGATCATTGAGGACCTAAACATTCAAGCAGAAAGGTAAATGACCCCTGCCAGGAATCCTACTTGGAGAGATTATTGGCATGGGTACAAGGCTAAAGCAGCTGCCCTGTAAAGCTCTAATCCGAACATAATCATAGAATAGTGTAGGGAAAAAAAATTGGTGATGGATAACTCAGAATGACCTAAAAATACTTGTAGGGGAAGACAGAATGCTCAGAGGTTTACTGTAGAGCAAGATTAAATATTGTGAAATAGATCAATTTAGATCAATGAAAGGGTAAGGCAGATGAAGTGGGATGAAGTTAGGAGGGTAAACACTGGCTGAGGTCAAAATACAGAGAGAGGATAAAGATGTGTTTAAGTGGGTCGTTGGGTGATTGTGTCACCGATTGTTGAAATCTTCAGTCACAGGGCATTTGCTTACTATTCATCTTATTTCTGGTCTTCCAGGATAAGAGGAGTGGTAGGCCTCCTTCCACTCCTTTTCCATGTTTGTGTTTAAGGTGCCAAGTTCATGTGGAAGTAGCACCTAGGCTTTTTCTGGAAGTCTCTTGGGGAGATGCAGAAGGAAGAAGACTGCTGGACCAATCGCCTAGAGACCAGACCTCAGTACACTAGCAATATTGACATGACATTTGCAAGATGCTTTTTACTTTGCAGAGTGTCTTTCTATGTGCTCTCTCATGTGACCAGGCTCTGTGATGTCCCAGTTTTATTTTGGCTTTCTCCTTTTTGGAGGTCACATAGTTAAGAGCTGTAAGTTCCACAGGGATGGGGACCACATCTGTCTGTTTGCCCAGCACCTAGCCCAGTGCTTGGCTCAAATTAGGTACTCAATAAGTGAACAAACTTTTCTCCAATTTCCTTCACTATTCTGTTTTGACTGGAAGGTGGTAGGATTCTCCCAGTTCACAGTTACAAACTCTTTGCTTGGACACAGCCTGAGCCTCCTCTATGTTTAACTCTTATCCATTCTCCAGCGTATCGCACAGAAGAATGCCAGCCCTGGGTTTTGCCAGTAGTGAGGAAAGTGGAGCAGAAGCTTGCTAATGACAATAGCCTAAATCATGAGTATCTGCCAATCCTGGGCCTGCCCGAGTTCCGGAGCTGTGCTTCTCGTCTTGCCCTTGGGGATGACAATCCAGCTTTCAAGGAGAAGCGGGTAAGTTTTGGGTGAGGATGTATTTTCTCTTTAGAAGTGGAAAGTAAAAAGAGGTTGAGAATACAGTTTGTTTAATGTGTTATATCTATTGAACTGCCAATGAATAAGGGTTTCAGTAGTACGAGTTCAGGAACCTGATAGTGCAGATAATGTGGCCATGTACCAAGCATGGCCTCTTTACTTGTTCAGTTTTGCTCAGTAGATCATCAGATTTTAGCTACTGCATTTAAAGCCATCAGTGGAGATGCCAAGTAGAGAGAATTTAATGGAATGATTAAAAAAAAAAAAAAAACAGGGTTCTAGATCCAACTCTGCCACTACTTTTGGTCATCAGCAAGTCATTTAGCCCTCTGGCCTCACATATGCATGTTAGAGAAAGACCACATAGTGCGAGCCTGTGATCCCATAAGGAATACTTGGATAGGGAGTTGTTTAAGGGGCCTCTGAGTCCCCTGAAATTATATGCAGAATTTTGTGTGTACTTATTTCTGGGGAGAAGGTGCATAGCTTTTTATCAGATTTTCAAAAGGTGTCTGTGGCCCCCAAGGGTTCAGGAGCCACTGGTAGATGCTGTCTGAAGTCCCTGCCAGTTTTCTAATATTCTTTAATACTTCTACTGTTGACCTCAGCGTCTATCATTTAAGTGCTTCCTGATATATATTCTCGTGTAACTAGAGACACATGAAGGAAGAATACATTTGGAAGTAGTCACAGCGAGATAGGCTGTATGTGGCAGGAAGTGGTATGGAAAAGATTCTCAGTGTTGTAGAAATTCAGAGGGGAGGGATACCTGTGAGGGCTGGAGATCGCACTTGAGCTAAACCTGAGAGAATGTGTGAATGAGGCCGGGACACTGGTTCTCAACTCTGGCTATATGTTAGTATTACTTCAGGAGTTTTTAAAAACAGTGTGTGACTGGACCCCGTGAACCCCATGCCAGGTCAGTTAAGTCAGAATTTGGAGGGCACCACCCTTCTCCCCTCTCTATCACTCCCTTTCTTCTCCCCCATGGGCATATTTTTTAAATGCTCCCCAGGTGTTTCCAAAGTATAGCCAGGTTTGAGAATCGCAAAATAGGGAAGAGGGGCAAGAGGAAGCATATCTATCTTGAATGGTAGGAGTCCAGGGACAGAGGTAAGAGCTAAGCATGTCTAGGTTGTAAAGAGACCTACCTGATTAGAGCTGGGAACATGTTGGACAGGTTAGGCAGGCTGATTCTGGCATCCAGGGCAGAAGCCAACTGAAGGTTTGAGCAGAGGAGTTACCTAATAAAAGTGTTGTTTGAAGAAGATAAGCCTGATTGGGTGGGTGGGAAAGGGAAGAGCTCAGGTATTTGCACTAGTCCAGTTGGGAATGGTGCAGTTTAAATCAGTGGCCCTTATTGTTCCCCTGGTCAGTGTTGTGTTGTAGCCTGCAGTTCATGCATTGAGGGGACCGCATCTTGGAGTCATCTGATTTATTCGCCACATGCTGTGTCTGGTAGGTTTTTCTTTTGTATATCATGTTACCCAGATGCTCTGATAATCAGAATGGCACAGTACAATGAAGGTTGCCCACATGTACATTTGTACATACGCTAAAAAGCAGAGAAGGCCCTGGTGAAGGTCTTGGGACTCAGGTCCATGATTAGGCAAGTAATGAATTTGATTAAGATTTTGTCTGGATTGGAATGAGAGACTATGATTTGCCTCAAGGAACTGAAGGCATATGGTTAGAATGAATTTGCTTTCTGTAGTGGGAAAGAAAGGATAGAGTTAAAAGTTGAGCACAGGAAATGAAAAATTATGCCTGGGAATGTTTCCACTGGTACCTGTATGCATCTGTCATGTTTCCAGAAGTTAAAACCACGTTCAAGGGAAGTCATGCTCATTTGCTTAGGAAGTATTAGCACTCAAGAGTGGCTTAGATATCTGAAATGTGAAGTCATGTATGAAACTGACATTCAACTTAGCTGGATAACAAATCCATAAAAAACAAATGCACATTTGTGTTGTATCATCTTGGTAGCAGTTTGCATAAAGAATTCAGGCAGACCACATGTGGGGGCAAAACTTAAAGTAATAGCAAGGTATGAGTGCTCAGTGAGGGTCACTGTAAAGAACAGAGAAGTTAGCACACCAACTCTGACATACACTGACCATTTTCACCCCAGTGCACTGCCTTTGCTTCTCTCTGTAATGTACAGCTGTGTTTAGTTGTGCATCTCCTTGAATGTCAACTTTGCTTATGTTTCACATTTCAGATAGTATTCTTTCACAAATGCTCACCCCTATGTATACAAATAGAACATTTGTGAATAATAGTGGTGATAATTGGTATCATTGTCTTGTTTCTGGCTTAAATGGGATTTCTGCTATTTTTTTTGTGATAAAATCCTCTGCCGCCAGGGTTCAGGCGATTCTCCTGCTTTAGACTCCTGAGCAGCTGGGACTACAGGCCTGTGCCACCACACCTGGTTAATTATTTTGTATTTTAGTAGAGACGGGGTTTCACTATGTTGGCCAGGATGGTCTCTATCTCCTGACCTTGTGATCCGCCTGCCTCGGCCTCCCAAAGTGCTGGGATTACAGGCATGAGCTACCGCGCCTGGCCGATTCATTGTTTTTTAGCAGACTATGGGTTAAATGAATTTTTTCAGTCATTTTCAGGAAGTATCCACTGTTTCCTGTTTTACTAAGCATTTATCTCAGGAATAGATAAGCTTTTCTTATCAGTTGTGATGATCATTTGGGTTTTCTCTATCTAGCAGCTTGACAAATTTTACATCTTTTATAATACATTCTTCGGATCACTCTCAATCAAGGTGGTAATTTTAATGTACTGCTGGATTAATACTGTTCATTAATGTTTACTTGGGAAGTTAGTAAACATTTGTTTAGGAAGTATTGGCACTCAAGAGTGTACTTGAATGAGCTAGGTCTCTCATTCTGCTTTTTCCCCTTTTGTTGTCTTTTAGCATCAATATTATGTTAGGTTCTTAAAAAGATTTAGGAAGCTTTTCTTCTCTAAGAAGAGTTTTTAAACTTTCTTATTATAGAAAATTTCAAATATTTGTGAAAGTAGAGAAAACAGTATAAAGAATGAATCCCCTATATATCCATCACCTAGCTTCAAGAATTATCTGTATATGGCCAATCCTGGATATTTCCCTCTACCCACTCCCAGCCTCCCTGCCCTCTAACAAAGCTGGATTATTTTATAGTAAATCCCAGACATCTAAATAGGTGTTTTAAATTTTATAAAATTGTATGACTACATGAATACATTCATTTTATTTTTAAAAAAACAACTTATAGATTAGGCCAAAGTCCCTTTCGACCACTATTTCTACATCCTTGGATCGCTCCCCAGAGGTTGCCACTGTTAGGAGATTGGTGTGTGTCCGTCCTTGTATTTATTCATTTATTTGAGACAGAGTCTTACTCTATTGCCCAGGCTGGAGGGCAGTGGTGAGATCCCAGCTCACTGCAACCTCCACCTCCCAGGTTCAAATGATTCTCATGCCTCAGCCTCCAGAGTAGCTGGGATTACAAGTGTGTGCCACCATGCCTGGCTAATTTTTTGCAGAATCGCTTGAACGTGGGAGGTGGAGGTTACAGTGAGCTGAGGCCCCACCACTGCACTCCAGCCTGGGCAACAGAGCAAGACTCCATCTCAAAAAAAAAAAAAAAAATGAGAGGAAACAAAGGAGAGGAAGGAAGGTAGTATTTGTGCATCACCTCTGTTTTGTTAGATCATACTTCTAAGGATGAATAAGCCTGAATTCTAGAGATGAGTAGCACAGATTGATGTCAGTGACAAGTTAGGAACACTGTTTTAGAGACTTATGCTAGAGGGAAAGTTTGATCTTAAGATAGGTGCTGAAGAGATGGGTTTGCCTTTTAAGGCATGTGCATGCACACACGCACTAATGTGGCCTCATTGTGTCCTCTACGTCTATGTTCAGAAGGGAAGCTCCCTCTAGCGTCAGACCTCCTGGTTTGAAGACCAGTGCTCCGGCTCAGTAGCTGGTAACTTTGAGCAAGGTTCTTCACCTCTCTCAGTCTTGGTTTCCTATTTCTTCTCTTTCAGGTAGGTGGTGTGCAGGGTTTGGGGGGAACAGGCGCGCTTCGGATTGGAGCCGAGTTCTTAGCGCGATGGTACAATGGAACAAACAACAAGGACA